CTGGGGGCCACGCAGGGCCGGGAGCAGCAGCTGGTGCGGCAGCTCAGGTTGGGCAGGCAGCAGGTGTACGGCATGGTGCTGGGAGGGAAAAGAGGTCTGAAGGTCAGTTTTAAAACCTGGTTCCTTCTCTCTGGTGTAAGCCCTGGTCCTCTCCAGGGCTTTATATTCTGTCAGTAGTGGGTGTGGCGATCATGTAAAGCATCACTCCCTTTTACCATCTTTACCAATTTTTTCTTTTGTTATTTAGCCACCTCACACGAGTCCTTTACCTCATAAAATGTTTTTACTCTGGCTTCTTGCTAAGTCAGGACTCCTTACCAATCATGCCGGTTGGTTAAGTAACAGCTTCATGCTTTGGCTTCAAAGTGACCAACCTTGTCAACAGCAGCACTTATGTATGGGGCATTGAGCTAGAGTGACAGCTGTGCCTTGTCCTCCAAAGTTGGGGGCCTTCTGTGCCTCTTTCTCCTAAGCGAGGAGAGGCCTGTGACTCATTTACCTCATACTCGGTTAGGACTCTGAAAAAAAAAAAAAAAAACATCTATGGAAGCCCATCTGGAAACTTGTGGTAGGGAATCCTGGAAGCTAAGATCAGAAAGGACTCACAAGGCCACGCAGTTCAATTTCGCTTCGCCTCCAGGCATTTCCATCCAGGCAGTTGGAGGCAACTCTACCCTCTCCCTGTGGGGCTGTAGGAAGCCTCCCCTCATCATTTCTGCTATTATTCAGTGTGCACAAAAACATTAAGAGAGCTAACATTTTTGAAGCACCTACTATGCATGAAGCACTGTTCTATGCACCTAAACACAGTGTGACTGTTACTGGTGATGGTTTCTGCTTGCTGAGTACCCACTGTGCACCAGGCACTGTACTAGGCTCCTCACAAGCATTGTCTCCTTCAATCCCCATGAAACCCTGCAAGAGTTTGTGGATGAGGACAGCATGCCACTGGGAGGTTGCCCAAGGTCACGGAGCTCCTATGTGACCATAGGATCCTATGTGTTGGACCCAGATCTCCCTAATTCCAGTGGCCACATTCTCTCCATTACCCTACACTGTTCCTCTTTTCCAGGTTCTCACCACTGAGATACAATAATGCAGGCCTGGATTGAGCTCAGTGGAACTCAATCAGTGCTAGACAATGTCCTCTCCTAAATTAGACTGTTCTCTGTCAAAGAACTAAACGTCATTTCTATTCTAATGGAAGGAAATTTACTAAGTGAGAACACATAAAACCCACGAGAAGTTTGAAAAAAAGAAACCCTCAGTTGATCTGATGTAGAAATACCAAAGCCTCATTCTCCAAAGGACATGACCCTGCAAAGCCATCACAACATCAAGTGCTTAAATGGCATCTCTTGACCATCAGTACATTTCGGCAAACAAATGTTCTGCCCTCGAGTTATTGCAAATGGAGCTATGAGCTTTGAGTATTTTATNCTAAACGTCATTTCTATTCTAATGGAAGGAAATTTACTAAGTGAGAACACATAAAACCCACTAGAAGTTTGGGCCGGCCTGGTGGCGCACTGGAGAGTGCGCCGCTTGGGAGCGCGGCGGCGCTCCCGCCGAGGGTTCGGATCCCATGTGGAGACTGGTTCCCGCTCACTGGCTGAGCGCGGAGCGGGCGCAACACCGAGGGTTGCGATCCCGTTACCGGTCAGTAAAAAAGACAAAAAAAGGGAAAAAAAACCACTAGAAGTTTGAAAAAAAGAAACCCTCAGTTGATCTGATGTAGAAATACCCAAGCCTCATTCTCCAAAGGACATGACCCTGCAAAGCCATCACAACATCAAGTGCTTAAACGGCATCTCTTGACCATCAGTACATTTCAGCAAACAAATGTTCTGCCCTCGAGTTATTGCAAATGGAGCTATGAGCTTTGAGTATTTTATGTTTAATGTCAGTGCTCAAAATATAAAAGATACTCCTCAAAGTTGTCCTTTTTGGAAGCCACATGCTAATATTCCTGCTGTACAGCCATTGCTCAGATCACCCTCTTTTCAAACTTGCCCTCACCGCCTGGGGCGCATTCTTTTGGTTATCCTCATCAAAAGCAAATCTTCGTCTTCTAAGGGTGTGCTTATTTTTGGAACCAGGCAGATGTCATTTGGAACCAAGTCTAGTGAGTAGGGTGAACAACCAAGCTGAGTAGCATCTTCTTTAATGGGTCAAAAACAAGTTGTAATTATTGCAAAATAATAATATGCATTTTCTTGAGTGATTCTGAGAGTCATTTCCAAGGAGAAGCTTCAAATGCAAGGCTACTTCAAAAAGTTCGTGGAAAAATTGAACTGAAAGACAATACAAATCCTTCCGTGAACTTTTTGAAGACACCCTGTATGCTTTTGTAAAGGAAAGCAGATTTGGAGCAAATGTGTGGTCTCTCAGAGCAAATGCATTGAAGGCAGCAGCGGCCTCCTCCACGTTCACAATTCACAACTCTCTGCCCTCTTGCCTGAATCTCCGCCTTTAAGGGCAGAGAGGGAGGGAGGTTGGGAATAATTGGGTGGGGGACACGGGGTATAAATGCAATTTGTGGTGATGGGCATGCTGCCAGTATGGATCTGGTCTTCACATCTTGGGCACGAGGGGTGACAATCAGCTTTGTATCTCATGAATATTCATAACCAATAAAAAATAGTTTATACAACTGAAAAAAAAATGATCCCACCATCAGTGACGTGGAATGGGTGTGTTGGTTTAAAATCAGTACCAAAATTATTAAAGCCCTGGGCCGGCCCGGTGGCGCACTGGTACAGTGCGCAGCTTGGGAGCGTGGCGGCGCTCCCGCCGAGGGTTCGGATCCCAAATACAGACCGGTTCCTGCTCACTGGCTGAGCGAGGGG